TTTTTCGTTGTGTTTACTTGGAATAAATATGAAAAAAATGATCTATGAGTAAAAATATAGTAGTCAAACCAGGGCAAAGGATTCATTTTACTTCTGTACGCTTTAAATACTAAATTCGATCGCTTACGTAGTTTTCTAAGAAGGTGTTTCCAAAAATTGGACATACTAATTTGCATTTGTTTTTCTATTCTTATATCCTATCGCTTATCAGAATAATTGAAATGATTTATTTTGAACAACAGAAATGTGAAGCCATTTTTTCATCATTTCTATGTTTCGCTGATAACATGAATGCCGTTGGTTGCTCCGAATATTTCAGTCGATCCCAATAGTGCCAAATAGTCCGGTTTACCAGAATTGAATCGTTTTGTATTTGCTTTTAGATAAGGCGCATTCAAATTAACATAATGCCTCGATTGCGTATTCCCAAGAATTTCCGAAATCATTATCACCAGATCACCGAATTTTGGACGGTTCTCGGGAACAGAAGACAAACAAGATAGCATAATATCGTTTCTGCAGAAGAAATTAAAAGCATTTAAACACTTTTGCATAATATACAATTTTGATATGTCAAAAAAGTAAAAAAACTTACATTTTTTGCGTGGCGTATTCGGCTTTTTCTATTCGATAACCTTCATTCAATTGGCGCTTCAAGTCTTCAAATTCAATATCCTTATTATTCTTTCGATAAGGTGTCGCACCCAGCGAAAATAGCTCCCACAGAGTGATTCCAAACGATCAAATGCTGAATGTGTACTAAACACTTGATCCTTTGGCGTCTCCAGTGCGAGCCATTTGAATGGCAAGCAACGCTAGGAATTATTGAAAACGGTAGTTTCATCAGTGAAAAAATCCTTTGTAATCCTCGGAATGGTTTGATATTTACCTGTGTCTTCATGTGATAGTGATAGTTTTCATCCTTGTACAATGATCGGGCCAAGCCAAAGTCACAAATCTTCACCACGTTGTCCTCACTCAGCAGAATGTTTCGCGCTGCCAGATCTCCATGTAACACTCTTCGAGAGGCCAAATAATCCATTCCACGCGCAATTTGAAACGACCAGATGAGTATATCTTCTGTTGTGATCAAACGCGGTGAAGACTCTGTTGATTCTTCTATCTTAATCATACATCCGCTTGGGGCAGCAGTAAGTTGTGATTCATTGTTCAAAGACTGGCCATCGACGCCAATTTTAAAATCAATTTCATCGGTGCCTGGTACAATTTGATCGACAAAATATTGATGAATTCTCGATAAAAAGCTCTTGAGACTTCCAAATGGACAGTATTCAACGATGACCATTAGTTCGACTGTTACCAAAAAGAAGGTGAATGATGAAGAGAAGTGAGTCTTATCATAAAATCAATTGATATATGAGGTGATTTTCATTATTTTACTCACATTTCGCAATATCCTGCGTGACAGCGCCGAGTAAGTTGACGACATTCAAATGTTGACCCAAATGGACCATGATCTTCAGTTCTGATATCAATGCTCGCATCACCTGTTGAGTTCATTCATTTGAAGTGATAATTAAATGATTCGATAACAACGAAATAAAATATTGTGTGGTAAATCAACAAAATGACCTCATTGCTGGCAACATTCTTAACAATTTTCACTGCAACTCTTGTCTCCTTTTCATTGGCTATGATTCCCTGTGCCGTTGCCTTCCGCACAATGCCAAAAGCGCCAGCGCCAAGTTCTTTGCCAAGTATGAGCTTTTCGTAAGGGAATTCATATTTCGGATCATCCGGCAGCAGATCAGCCTGTAGATCCAATGTAAATTCGGATACAGGATTGGTCAAGTCAGTTTTTTTAGGTGTGTTATAGACAGACAACCCTCTCTTTGATTGCCAAATTTCCACTGGTAATATAACTATTAATGACACTCATCCAGGTATGAAATATGGGATTTTGTACCATGGCTCATCTGAAATAAAATCAAATTCCAGAAATTTCAAGCTCTGGTACTGCTAAAATGTCTATGTTTTCGAAGCAAAATTCAAGAATTTCACTTCCTCCACTTTTTTGCGAACAATTTCGTGTGGACATTTTTACATTCAACGCGGACTGTGTACTCACTTTCAGATTGGACTGGCGAGACTGGGTTTGATGTTGTTGTTGAATCGGTGTTTGTTGTTGTAATCGTAGTTGAAGTTTGAGTTGTAGGCGTAGTAGTTTCCGTCGTTCCTCTTTGTGTTGTAGTAGGCTAAATAAGTTCTACATCAATCCATAGACCATTCTTTACCCATGCGTTCAAAGTTTTGTGCAAATATGTGGAATCGAAAAGATTCTCTGCAATTTTAAGTGACTTTAGGTTCGGTAAATTGTTTGAATTGACCATGCCAAGTTTGGTTAGTTTGTTGCCGACTAAATTCAGTATTTGCCGACTAATTCAGCAAGATCCATCTTCACGGAGTCGATTTCTGCCAATAAATTATTGGAAAGTTTAAGTGTTATCAGCTGCGACTGTTTGACAAATGCATCATCTTCAATTTTGGATATCTGCGAATGGCTCAAATTAAGATGTCGCAAGTTGGTAAATGGCTTCAGCATGACGCCGTTCAACGTTTCAATAGAATTCCATGATAGATCCAGTCTTTTAAGATTCGTTCCGATTTTTTTCAATAAATCCGAAACCCTCTGATTTCGATTTGCTGAAGCGTTGAAAACGCGAATTTTCTCGAAGAAATCAATATCGTCAAACCCTTTAAAATGACAAATTGACTGCCCACAACTTATATCCAACTCTTCAATGCTATCCGATGGAAGATGCACTTCAACCAATCCTACTTTTGATGAAAATGTATTGAAATTGAACTTTTTCAGTTGAGTATCAATCAAGTTTAACTCTTTCATATTTGGATTGTTTACAAAACAGTCATCATCAATCTCTATGATTCGGGTGTTGCTCATATCGAATTCTAAATCTCTAGTCGCGTTTAAAAATAACCTAAAGCATCTGTTACGTTCCACGCAGTAAATTTTTAGATATTTTTCAAATAGTAAAATACTCGGACCATTGTTATGAAATTTCGTATCCAATTTAGATTAAGATTAAGTTTGACTTCTCATTTGATTTTTCCCATTGATGTTAACGTACTTTAATTGCAAAAACTCATCATCATTGTATTTACCCTGGTTTTCCAGAATCAGGCCGGTTTTACCATGGTTTTCCGGACCCAATTCTGGTATGAAAGCCTCACTTTTATATCATCCCTCCCCTGACTGTATTCTCTTTGCAAAAGACGCACCATGGGCGGAATTTATGCCGTATTGGGTCTCTGAACAGCATGTTCTCAGCTTGCTGGGAACACATATTGGCATAAATGTAGGCTTCGTAATAAATAAATAAATAAATGAATATTTCCAAACCATCAAGTTTTGCAATGAAATTACAGTTCAATTCCGATATACAATAAACTGCCGCCCAAATACAGTTCTTTCAATTTCTGATCGTTTGTCAACACTAAACTATCCTCGCTATCAAATTTTTTTTGCCTAAGGACAATTCACCCGGAAGATCATTGTTGCTCAGATCCAATGTTTTTAAATACTTCAATGGATCAAAATTGAAATACATCAGGTTATTGTGTGAGAAATCGATTTCAGTTAATTGTGGCATGTCAACCAAAAATGAATCAAGAATATTATACAGCCGGTTATGTGATGCGTTTAGTATTTTTACAGGAATCGGATCCATTCTGATACTCGAGATAATTTCAGAATTTCTAATCCCAAGATTTGAAATATCCAACGAATTTAGATTCTTGAAAGTGTTTAAGTCGCTTAGGTCGCTTAGCGACCTGATTGAAGTGTTACACTCATATTTTATCAATTTCACATCTGATTAATCGTATTCGTTTTGTTTCAAACACCGTTTTGGCCTGCCATTCGAAGCACAAATGTATCGAAATGTCTGATCTGTGCGTGAATAGCACTGATAAAAATCGTCTCCGAATTGAGCTTTAACTAATGAAATTAAAAGAACAAAAACAATCACGGGCTTCATTTTGTTGTTTCGAAAAAGATTCAAGTGTAAATATTCCAACTGACTTTGTAACACTGATCGACATGAAAGAGTTAGCCGTACTATATAATCATATATAAATGGTGTGACAAATTATTCACAAGAAAATATGGTTACATTCACAATTTATTCCGTACAATTTGCTGATGAATGTAACATTTGCTTGTACATACTATTACACTGGGGGAGTTTATCCATTCTCGAATTGACCGGAATTCGCACAATTCGAATGTATTTCGCCTTCAAATTCTTGAAAATTTAGCGAATTAGTCAGCTCCAAAACAGAGACAGCTGGCACCATACTAATTTTCATTCACAGTAAGAAAGCATAGAATGTGAAAAATTCGCAAACAATGTGCGAATTCAGGACAAAATTGCAATAAAATAGTTAACTTCAATAAACTCAACTGACATAAAAACCCCTAGCTATGACATATAGAATAATTGTATTCTTACTCACCATCTGAACACTTTGATATTAAGAATGTGGCTTTATGATCAGATGTTGGTTTACAGTCCTGCTCAAGAAATGACTCAAAAGGAAAAAAAAATGAAATCCGTTTCTGCATTTGATCACGCATGCTGGAAATATTTCGCTTTATGACACATATCATGGTCACATAACTTACGATTTACTCATGTAATACAGAGATACGCTTAAGATCCATTTTTAGAGTTACATGCAATACTTTTCAATTAGATATCGTTGTACGTCTGATATATTAATAATAAAATTATTAATCTTTTTCTGACTTTTTGTAATGATCATGGGCGCATATTTATTTGTGACCTGCAAAATTTGATTTATTCCAAAACGAAAGATGCATTCGTATAAATGAAAAAGATTTAAGAATAAAGTGAGATAAAAACTGAAGCATATTTATTATATTTTCACGTTAGTGTATGGTGTACTGTGCAAAACAATGAGAGAAGATGATATCCTTTAGTTTTATCATCGGCTGATCAAAATTTATCTAAATTATTCGTCTTAAATGTTTTGAGGTCAATTGAAGTATTAGGAACTCTTTTACTCGATGACAGTGCGTCGCTAGCAACATGAAGTCCATTTGTTGCTATTGATGTTCCACCTGGCCGTTTGGTCAAGAATGAAAAGTGATCTTTCTCCATTAAATTTAGTGGCACAGAAGGTGCTTGAGAATCAGGCGATCCTAGTATGGCCAAATAGTCAGTTTCGCCAGAGTTGAATCGATTTGCATTTGCCTCTAGGTATGGCTCATTCAACTCGATATAATATTCCGACTTGGTTTCTTCGATTATTTTGGAAATACTTGTCTCCAGATCACTGAATTTTGGACGTTTCTCGGGATCAACGCACCAACAAGACAACATAATATAGTGTCTGTGGAGGAATAAGCATTTCAATAATTCTACTCTCATTTAATATTTAAAAGCAAACTTACATCCTTTGAGTAACAAATTCGGCTTTCTCCAATCGATAACCATCATTCAGTCGGCACTTCAAGTCCTCAAATTCAACTCCTGAATAAGGTGTCGCACCGAGCGAAAATAGCTCCCACAAAGTGATTCCAAACGACCAAACGTCTGAATGTGTACTAAACACCTGATCGTTTAGCGTCTCCAAAGCGAGCCATTTGAATGGCAAGCAACACTAGGAAGTTTCGAGAACAATAGTTTTTTAGCGGAAAATTCCTCACAAAGGTTACATTGCAAGATTCTTACCTTGGTCTTCATGTTATAGTGATAATTTTGATCCCTGTTCAATGATCGAGCCAAGCCAAAGTCACAAATCTTCACCACGTTGTCCTCACTCAGCAGAATGTTTCGCGCTGCCAGATCTCCATGTAACACTCTTCGAGAGGCCAAATAATCCATTCCACGCGAAATTTGGAACGACCAGATGAGTAAATCTTCTGTTGTAATTGAACGCTGCGAAGACTCTGCTAATTCATCTATCATTACCATACATCTACTTGCTGCAGTAGTTGGTTGTGATTGATTGTTTGAAAACTGGCCTTCGACGCCAATTTTAAAATCAATTTCATCCGTCCCGGGCACAATTTGATCGATAAAATTACGACGATTTTTCGCCAAATAGCTCTTGAGATTTCCAAATGGACAGTATTCAACGATGACCATTAGTTCGACTGTTACCAAAATGGAGTTGAATGATGAAGAAAAGTGAGTTTTATCATCAAATCAAATGGTATGAGAGGTGATTGCCATTATTTTACTCACATTTTGCAATATCTTGCGTGACAGAGCCGAGTAAGTTGACGACATTCAAATGTTGACCCAAATGGACCATGATCTTCAGTTCTGATATCAATGCTCGCATCACCTGTTGAGTTCATTCATTTGAAGTCATAATGAAATGATTCGATAACAACGAAATAAAATATTGTGTGGTAAACCTAAGGGGATTTATCTCTCGCGAATGCTGCGAATGCATTCGCATTTCAGAACAAAAATTCGAATGTTCGCGAATGCGACGAATGCGGCTATGACAGCGAACTTGTGACTACATAATTCATTCGTTCATTCGTGTTTGTGCATGCATTCGCAACGCTGCCGTATGATTTCTATGTAAAAATTCACACTCGCATTCGTGAGAACGTTCGAGAACAGCGAAATACGACTGCTATACGAATGCGAGTGCGAATGTTTACATAGAAATCATATGGCAGCGTTGCGAATGCATGGCACTGAGCGCGAATTTGTGAATAAAAATTCGAGTGTCAAACCGACATAGAAGCCCCTAGTGGTAAACTAACTCAATGACCCACCTCATTGCTGGAAATATTCTTAACCATTTTCACTGCAACTTGTGTCTCTTCCTCGTTAGCCATGATTCCCTGTGCCGTTGCCTTCCGCACAATACCAAAAGCTCCGGCGCCAAGTTCTTTACCAAGTATGAGCTTATTGCGAGGAAATTCATATTTCCTGTCGTAGGGCAGCAGATCAGCCTGTGCATCCAATGCCAATTCGGGTTTCATTCTATTTATATCACCAGATACAAAATTGGCCAATCCAGATTTTGCACTTTGTTTTCGGCGACGACAGACAGTCAAAGAGCATAAAATGCCGATTGCAAATATTACAATCAATACTACTACTAATCCAGATATAAAATGTGGAGTTTTGTACCATGGTTCATCTGAAATGAAATCAAACACAAAAACAATGAAAACAAATTCTTAAAGCTACATTTCCGTTGACGCAAGCAACTTTTAGGATATTTTTCCATTCAAAGCGAACTGTGCAGCTACATACCTTCAGATTGGGAAGTTGAGTCAGCAGTTGTTGTAGGTTCAGTAAGTTCTACATCAATCCTTAGACCATTCTTTACCCATTCGTTCATAGTATCGTACAAATATGTGGAATCGAAAGGATTCTCTGCAATTTTAAGTAACTTGAGGTTCGGTAAATTGTCTGAATTGACCATGCCAAGTTTGGTTAGTTTGTTGCCGACTAAATTCAGTGTTTGTAGAGAAGCAAGATCCATCTTCACGGAGTCAATTTCTTCTAACAAATTATTGGAAAGATCGAGTGATGTCAGATTAAAAGGTCTGATAAACGCATCATCTTCAATTTTTGATATCTGCGAATTGCTCAAATTAAGATGTCGCAAGTTGGTAAATGATTTCAGCATTCTGAAGTTCAATGTTTTAATAGATGTCCATGATAAATCTAGGGTTTCAACGTTCGGTCCGATTTTTTCTAATAATTTCGCTATGTTTTGGTGTCGATTTCCCGAAACATTGAAGAAGCGAATATTTTCGAAAAAATCATCATCGTCAAACTGTTTAAAGTGACAAATTGACTTCACACAACTTATATCCAACTCTTGAATGCTTTCCGATGGCAGATGCACTTCAACCAATTTCGCTTTTGTTGAAAATGTATTGAAATTGAATTTATTCAGTAAAGAACCTTCCAAGTTTAACTCTTTCATATTTGGATTGTTTACAAAACAGTGATCAGCAATTTCTTCGATGTTATTGTTGCTCAGATCTAATTTTTCCAACATCTTCAGTGATGAAATCAATGCGGGACTTAGACTCTTCAATGAACTATTGCCCAGGTTCAATTCTATCAATTTATGATTTTTTCCAAACTTAATCGTTTCAATATGCGAATTGCTCAGATCTAAAGTTTGCAAAGTGTGAAGTGAAAAAACTACGACAAATCTATCTAACGGATTATTATTCAAGTACAACAATTTTAAATCTTCTTTGCCTGAAAACACAGCATCACTAAAATCTCTGAGGTGATTGTGGCTTAAATCCAATGTCTCAAGTTGTTGTAATTTTCCAAACGACCGCCAATATAAACGCTTAATGTGATTATTTGAAAAGTTCACCGACAAAATGTGATTGGATTCTGTGAATCGGTTAAAACTTACGTAATGAATTTGATTGAAACTATAATCAATTTCAGTTAGTAGTGGCATATGATCCAAAAGTTTGGCCGGAATCTGAGTAAAATTGTTGTGCGAAGCTCTTAGTTTTTTAATTTGTGATTTGAACTGCAGAGATGACGCAAAAACAGCTTCAATCCCAAGATTTGATATATCCAACATATCCGAATTCTTAAAAATGTCCAGTACGTCTAGACAGAGCTTTTTCAATGTGATCGGTTTTCCGCACTTGTATGTTATCAATTTTACACTTGACTTATCGTATTGGTTCTGTTTCAGACATCCTTCTTTGGATACATAGTCATCCTGGCCCAATATGTCCTGCTTACATATGAATTGAAGGTGTACCGTATCATTTGTACGTGAATAACACTCGTTGGGAAAAACGTTGTCTCCCAAATGTGTTTCAATTAATAGAACAAAAAATCCAAAAACTATGACGTGCTTCATTTCAACGCTTTGTGGAAGTTTCAAGTGCAAATAAACGAACTGACTCTATGAAACTGATCGTCGATAAAAAAAATTAGGCAGACTAAATATAGAGCAACACAATTATTTCCAAAAAATTTCTTGTTACATTCACATTTGGTTTGAATATTTTACTGATAAACGTAACATAATTGCTCATACTATTCCGCTAGGGGGGTTTATCCATTAGCGAATTGACTGGAATTGACCGAGATGTAAACTTCAAATTCTTCTAAATATTCTACGGAATCCAAAACTATGACAGTAAGCGGGTACCATTTAAGTTGTCATCCGCAGTAACAAAGTATGGTATGTGAAAAATATGAAAAACAGTTCAATTCGACAAATTTAACATGTATAAAAAAAACCATGGTATCCATATCTTTAATTTTTAAAAGTGCGTCCGCCCCCTAGAATTGGAACTTACATAAAAATCAGTTGAAAAATTCTGTTTTAAAATCAGTTTGAATACGCATGTTGACGCTTTTTCATGTTATGACACATATCATAGTCACATGATTCATGATTTACACATTCAATACCATAAATGCACGCATGGGTGTATTTGTCACCTCCGAAATCAGAATTGTCAGAAGAGATTATTCGTCTCAAATGTTTTAAGAACAATGGAATTATTACGAACTTTTTTGCTCATTTTCGATGTGTTGCCAGCAACATGAAGGCCGTTTGTTGCTTTTGATGTCTCGTCTAGCGATTTTGCCAAGAATGAAAAGTATATTCTTTGCCTATCACATTTACCGGCACAGAAGATGATTGAGAATAAGGTGATTTTAGTGGTTATTTGATCTGTTGTAAACAATTAATTAATAGATTTTGACATAATTCAACAAGCTGAATCTGAACAATTGTAACTTTACATGCTAAACATACATACGAAATAATGGTTTTTTTTCCATTGCATTACATAAGTCATCGTAAAAAAATTCACTGAAATAAAACTCAAGACCTAATTGGGTCAACGAACTGACTTTAAATTGATTAATCATGTTCAATTTTTTTCATACAATAAAAATAGAACGATGATTCAATCGCATAGTTTTATTTTTGTATTAAGTGAACAGGGACACGCCCAAACAAATAGTAAAAAATTCTGGTATTTAATTCTAAAAATTTATGTTGGTATTTCTTAAAGAGATTATGTTGACAAATTACTAGTGTGAAAAACCATCCGTATGCATTCAATTAATTGGGTCGCTTCTACTTTTTCATGCTATGGACGCATCACAGGAGGCGATAGCAGGCACGAGTGACGAAAGCACACTAGTGCTGAAAGTTGAACTCGCCTATATACACGCAATTTTGAACATAATGACAGAACATTGACAAATGCGTACAATTAATGGCATGTCAATGCACATTACTCAAAATTAGCGTAGAATTTCTTTTTTCATTTCCAACGATTTTTGAAAACTGAAAGCCGTTTGGAGTTCGGCCGTGCCAGGGGATATTGCAATGAAATTTAATTAAAAAAAATCGTGGTTTTATCTGGATTTTGGGCTATCGGCCTTTTTTATTTTTAATTCATATGTTTTCCTGGACAGACGGCCGATAGCTCAAAATCCAAAGAAAAAAACACGATTTTGTTTGGATTAAATTTCATTCACAACGATATTTTTTCCACTCATCAATCAATCAATGCATAGGATGGTTTTATCACATTTACTTAATACAACAAATGGTCATGTTTCATTAAACGCACACAGTTAAGCTTCTTTTCAGCATTGACCACACCTATCATGTAGAAAATAAGAAGCAGTATCATCAACGTAAAATGTACTAATTCGCAGCTCGATGTGTAAAACATTTTTGCCTAGGTTTAGAGACCGTGGTATAATGATGGTAAACGTTCGAATATTCACTTGATTGCAATGAACCATTATGATGGTTTTCCAAATACCCCCTCCTTGTACACGTGTGCCCACGCCTGTAACTACGAATCGCATGAAACTATTTCATTCCACTTTGTCGAGCATAAATAAAAGTGCATACCACTTTTGCGGACACTCTTCGACAGATATACCAAATAACTATTGAAACAATTACGATGATGATAAA